GCGTTAGTAAAAGCCTTCGGATAAAGCATGAAAAGCAAAGAAATCCAACAACTGGGTCTAGATGTTCATACTTAATCGGTGGACAACAGGAACCGAGCTAGGAGGAAGACCGCCATACTCGGTGATAACCATGTCGATGTATTTGGCGGGCGTAACGTCGTACAGAACCTGCAGATGGTGCAGGTTCTTCGATTCTGCAATCCATTTCAGCACGTCTGACGTGTCTGACTTTTCCTCCTCGCTAACAGGAGCTTTGTCGTCATTCTTGCTGGCGTTCCTGCTGCTGGGGAGCATAGACTTGAGAGGAAGCAGGTCGCGGCGCTCGGCCTCGGACAATAGCTCCTCGGCAGGTGCAACTTCGTTGCCAACGATCGAGTCAAGTGCAACCTTCTCGGTGAACTTCACTGACTGACAGAGAACAATGACGGGAAGCGACTGAGCGCTTGCAAGCATCGAGACACTGGCAGTGCCGACACGAGAGTACAGTCGACCGTTAGACATCATGGCGTGTGCGCCGAGGAAGACCTTTGTCGCGTCCTTGATGGCGTGCGAAGCTCCGGTAATCAGATAGTAGCGCACCTTGACACCGGCGTTGGCAAGTTTCCGCGCCAATTGCTTGCCCTCGAAAAGCGGCTTCGAATCGACAACGATGACGGAGAACGGTGTGCCGGCCTCATGAGCGCGCAGAATGGCTTGCTCCACGATAGAGCTGGAAGCGTATGTGAGGATGACGTCCCCAGGCTCAATCTTTGACGCAGCGAGATCGCGGATAAGTCTGTCAGCTGCTGTCACGCGCTCGCGAATGAAGATGTCGATTTCCTCCAAGAGGTCTCGCTTGGCCTCTGCTTCGGGAGTAGCAGGGTCGATCTTGATGATGACATCCTTCAGCCAACGGATCGCATTACCCATACTAATGCTGAGCGGTCTACAGCTTCTGAGGTACTCGATCTGTGGGCTCAGGTGGTGATTCGTAAGATGACGTGCCAAACTGGTGCCTGGAGGTGTTTGATATGACTCGATCACAGCCTTGAAGGAAAGAAGCATTGCCACCATACGAGCAGTGCTACCACATATCGCATAGCTGCTGTACTGTAGTCCCAGAGACAGAACTGCGGGATGAACATCCTTCCCTGCCCCATTCATTGATTGCTGCTTTGGTTGACTGTACAGATGCCCAAAGAACAAACCCACACCAGCTTGTCTCGATTCCTTCTTGCTCTTCTTCTCTGGCTCTTTTTGGACTGGCGCATTGGACTGGGAAGGCCGTCTCCTGATAGGCATGGGTCGAGCTTGCTCGTTCTTTACGCCCTGTTTGGGCTCCTTCGATTGCTTCTGTCCATCTTTAGGTGCGCCTTGCTCTTTTGGAGGGCCACCTGGACCTTTCTGCTGCGCTCTACGAGCTTGCTTCTCGGCTTGCTTCTGCTTCTTTAACTCTGCAGGCGAAAGCTTTTTGGGTGCGTCCTCGGCTGCTTTTGTGGTCTTAGCATCTCCGTTTGTTGTGGTAGTAGGCGCATCCTGGGGCTGTGAAGATGGTGCAGCGGCAGCAGGCGCTGGCTCTGTTGTTTGGTCCGACATGGCTGATTTATTCCGGGACTCGGCTCTCTTCTCCAAACGTGGCGCCTGGACAAGGTAGCTTTTGCGCTGCTGTAGTGGGGTGAATTCCGGGGTAAATTCTGAATTTCTGGATGTCGGAGCTCCGTACAGGAGTTCGTGATTCTTAGGCGACACTTGTAGCCAAGTCGAGTTGGGTGTAAGTAGTTTTAGGTTCGTCGTCACTGCTGGCGGGCTCGCGGAATTTTGATAGACAGAAGCCTTTGACTCAATGGCCTTCCGCACGCGTTAGGCTTGAACGGTGATGGCGCGCTTGGCAACGAGAATCTGCCCCGCCACTGCCCGCAACGTCATCTGGCAGCCACGACTAACAGGGTCCAAACACAGGCTGCAGCATCTGTATAGGTATATGTCTTGTAGATTGCCGTATGATCTGGCTTGCACCTTGACTCCCACACCACTTTGATCCCATTGTTATCACCATGACTGACAGGGCCACGTCAATTACAGATCTGCCGCTCGACGTTCTTGTCCTCGTGTTCCCGTATCTGGACGCGAAGAGCTTCCTATCGCTCTGCAGCACATGCAAGGCTTTCCAACAACCCTCAATTCGACTTGATCCCACATACTGGAGCTTCACCACACGTAGTGTCTTCCGTGTACCGAATCAGCCAGTTGTCCAATATGACGGCGCACGGTGGCACAAGCTATATCGACGCATGCTAACTCAGAGCCGTGTTTTTACATGGGGCAACAATGGTCACAGCCGCTTGGGCCACGGCTATGGTGAGGTAATGCCTCGAGGTCCTATGCTTCTGCCCAGACGACCTGGGCCAATGAGAAGTCGAGGCAGAACTAACTGTGCGTTTCCAACTGAGATGGACGATACTCGACAGCTGGGAATCATCGCAGATATGCAGTGCGGGTGAGTGGTGGACTCCGGGAGATAGGCGTGTGCACAGTAAACTGACAGCGCACAGTGGTTGGTCAACAACACTTCTCACCGCGAACGGTACCCTTCACACCGCTGGTGTCCTCGACGGTCAAGTCACTTCAGCCTCGCATGATCGCATGTCTCCTCTCGGATTTCCTGCGGGTTTTCCCTCTGCAGCCTCTGGATCCCAATACTACGAGCCTTCGACTGCCATTCGACAATTCTCCGCGGGCAGATCACACACACTTGGGCTTACAGATGATGGAAAGATCTGGTCATGGTACCACGCAAAGAGAGCCGCACTGCAAGTCAAGTTTGCTCACCTCGAACTACGGGAACAGGCTAGCGAGCGCTCAGTAGCCAAGCAGCCTTCATCTTTTGGACATGTGCAGCAGGTTATCGCTGGCTGGAGCCGCAGCTCTGCTTACGTCCAGGGCGTAGGTATCGTAGTTTGGGACATCGTGACACGAGGGACCAATGATGGCGACACAGACACGATGCTCGTGCTCGAGAATGCTGAAGTACCCAAGACAAGCTATCGACGTCCGAAGGGGAAGGAGCGAGAGAGCGAAGACCAGAGGATTCTCGGTGAAGAAGTTGGAGCCGTCCTCAATTACATCGTCATGGAGCACTTCGTTGTATTTGCGACCGATGTTGGCAAAGTCTTTTGTGGACTGTTCAGGGACAAGAACATTGTCGACGACATTCTCGAGCTGACGGACCTACGAAGTGTGAACGGGTCCTCTGTCGATGTCCAAGGCTCATTCCGTCGCTTCGCAGTATTCAAAAATGGAGAAGTCATCACTGCTGACCAGGAGTATCTGCATCAGTGCTGGGATGCTCGAGCCACGAACTCCACATTCGGAGGTCTTCACAGGATCCCAGCGTTGCAGAACAACGACGTCATCTCTGTAGCTTTTGGAGATTACCACTACCTTGCGCTTCACTCAAATGGAAAAATTTCTTCGTACGGCACCGAGCTACAGGCGTGTGGCGCCCTCGGGCTTGGAGAAGAAGGACCGCAAGGCAAAGCGCGAGGCGTAGTCTACGACCGCTTCAACCGCGATGGGCGTCTGACCCCACACGCATATACACATGGTCGTCAGGTGTGGTTTGATTCAAGGAAGAAGGATTGGATCCAACATATCATTCAGAACTCACCCAATGAAAATGAGGAAGCAAGACAACGTGAGGAGCTGTTCAACGAGGATCTAAACGTGCAAGGCGAAGTCAGCGAGTGGATCGAGCAAGAAGGGCGCGAGTGGGATAAGGATACGGGCGAGGACGGGCTTGGTGCGTACTTCGCCCTTAGGGTAAGTGCTGCAGGGTGGCACTCGGGTGCTTTGGTATTGGTCAACGACGATCTGGCGAAGATGGAGCCTTCATATCGCTATGGGGGTAAGTCATTCCCGAGACTGCGGCTGAGCGATGGCACTGAGATGCCTGGATCTGGAGAGCTGGATGCGTGGAGACACGGGCAGCCTCAGTGGAATCTTGATGCTGTTGCGTAATCATGAGGACGTTGGTTTACCTAAGTGTCATGGTATAAGTCATCTTTCGAAGCGGATACGTACACTTGCAAGACATCCGTAATCGTACGTACTCACCTACCTAACAATGTACCACACCACCAAAATGGATTACACTCGACGACAAAAGCAGATCATGCCTTGCTTCGACGCTCTTGCATACTATCAGGAGTGCAAAAATGCCAAAAAGAACGGGGCCGGACGAGTCGTTCGCGACAATCGAGTATAAGAACAACTCGTACTGGGAGAAATTTGCAACGGGCGAGCATTGTGAGGAACGGTCAAAAACTATACATGATCACAGATATTGGACGTCCTGTAGTTGAGGTAGCAGATGCCGGCGTTCAGCGACTCATTGATGGGCAGGCAAGACGAAGATCAGAACGCATAGTAATGTAACCAGTAGAATCGGAGCGATACATCAGAGAACATCCAGCGTCAATGCACTCTGCCCTCTAAGCTATGCACTTGTACGTCTGTGACTTTAACCACGCATATAGCTGGAAGCTACGTCCGTCTGCCCACTTGTTGTGCGCCGCAATCTTGCTCTCCGAACGTGGACATAACCAAAAGAATAACCAGCGTGACTGCACAGCTTCCGCTCGTTCATCATTTATGGAGTTACACACATGACCGGTTGATGCGGCAGGGTGGATACCATCGAAGTCTACATACATCGTTGATGAGTCTGTATCAACGACATCCACAAATGCGAAACTTAGCCGGGTGGAAGGAGCAACCAGTCTCCTTGACTGACTCGAAGCAGTCCACACATACATTTACGATGTAGTCGCCGTTGTTGTTCGCAACTCGAACACATTGTTGGTAGATGCCCCACCTTACTGCACATCAAGAACAAGCAGCGCCGTTGGCTATAACATCTCTTCTCACAAAACGGTATCGGAGCAAAGCTTTGATGAAGCTGTGAGGTGGAAAAAGAAGTACACCCTACAAAAGCGACAGCGATGCAAGAAGTGCAAAAAACGGGGCCCCACCGCGATTCGAACGCGGGGCCTCCTGCAAATTTGAGAGTGAACCCAAAGCAGGAATCACTGAGAAGTTGTTAGTTGGTGAAGGGAGCCACAAAACACATTATACTTACTACCACTAGACCATGAGGCCGTTTCACTGATGAAGAATATCAAGACAATAACGTATATCTTCGTAAGTGTCTTGCTGCGCTGCGTCAAAGTGGGTCGACTCTCGGCAATGTGAAATCATCTCACTAGACCGGGATACAGAGCGTTGAACTGAGCTGCCGCGCACATCGCTTATCGCTGTGTGATCAGGTATGAGGTGTAACAGCGGAAAGAGTGGAGGATGAGCTTTGCTGCTGGAGCGAGCGCTAAGAACATTAACACGTGTCAAATACGGGATCTCTTACAAGTTTAAGAGTGAACCCAGAGCAGGTTGTTGCTTCTTAGGCACTTGCTGAAGCAGGTGCGATTGGTTGGAACTCACAATCAATCCACTAGCTGGATGTTTATCCCACATGGCAGGTGGGACCTTGTGCATAAACGAAGCGGGACGCGAATACCTTTGAAAGTCGCTGGCGCCAAGGTCTCAGTTCAAGCTCAGCTACATACACTCTCGAGAAATGCTTGCTTGTCTGCAAGCGTGACATCTGTCTGTTGCAAATGCCGTCCGGACACCCAAATGCTTGAACGCCCGACCTCGCTGTAACCGCTCTGCATTACTTCTATTGATCACCCGGTGGTGACGAGCTGCGAAACGTTCAAGTGAGAGATTTGCGTACATATAAAGCGTGGTTTTGGGGATCTTGTATGAATTGGTGGCTGCCACACTTTTGTGGGATCCAGGTCATTGAATTGTGATTACTTCGCAACTCTTATGCTGCCCAGCCATCCCATTCTCTGTAGATCTTGCGAAGACGGCCTTTCTCATCCTCGCCAGTGAAGATCGACTCCACGGCGCCCTCGCAAAGCTTGCGTACGTCGGCAGGGCTCATATTGAAGTGCTTTGCAGCAAGCTCGTACTCGTTCGACAGAGGACTACAGAAGACACCAACGTCATCAGTCTGCGCATTGTCAGTATAGTTCAACAGCGAGCAAGGGAAGACTTACGGAGAGTGCCACAGGAACGTTTGTCTGCCTCCACATCCCGAAGTGGTGGTCGCTGTAGGTCCCGGTAATCATTCTGGCGTGGACGTTGCAGCTCAAGCATAGCTCGACGCCAATGTTCTCTCGTTCGATGATCTTGCGATACTCTTCCTTGACGTGTATGACATGACCGAGCCGGTCTGGCTTCCATGACAACAATGTTTCCAGCTCAACGTCAGTTGCTGATACCTTGGCCTCGGCAAAATGCAAGGTCATCTTCAAGCCAGCAGCTTTCGCTCTGACAAAGGCGTCCGTGAAGATTCGCACATCGCCTTTGGCTGGATCTCCACAAAGATCGATACCTACAACGCCTGTTGATTGGTGTTTGGTGCATAAATCAACGACTTCCTCGGCCTGAGCGATTGTATTGCGGCGGTCAACGGAAAGAATCAGGTACACTCGTAGCGCGTTGGTAGAATCTTTGTTCCATGCATCGAGGATGCGCAAAACAGTCTTGACGTAGTCATCCTTGGTGATGCCTTTGTCAGGGATTGCTCGCGGGGTAGTACGAAGTTCAAGGTAGACCACGCCGTCTGCCTGAAAGTCTTGCAGTACAGCCTTGGTCGAATATCTTCACTCTATCAACAGATGTCGCAGCACTCGCAATTGACAAGACACCTACTCTATACTGGGTAGGTCGCTGCATAGCTTGTAGATATACGACGAGAACAAAGGGAAGAAACTGTGCCGGCTGTCAGTATTGGTTGCAAATTCGTTTGATTGCAGCAATTAACATGTGGGGACGCCGAGATGATGCGAGGTACCACAAGAACGTGTCTCTCGCGTCGCAGAGAAGTCGCAAACAAGCCATACATCTCCACCAGGATGGAAGGTAGCCAATGTGTATCTACGCGTGCTTCAGATGCGTATGCACATTTCGGATGCGCATAGACTCTTTGCTGGCTACAATCGTCTGCGGTTATATTCGACTTTCTCTGCGTGGCGAGAGCGTGTATCAGAACGGAGCCTCGGTATGAAGACGGTTCTGTTAGCTCGCTACGGCAAAAGGAGACGGGAGAAAGGAGTCGGGGACATGAATCGTGGCATCAGATCAAGTATTGAGGGAGCATACGTCTCGAGGTCGTAGTCAACCTTGTCAGAAGGAATGGCAACAAGAGGGTCTTCGACGTCGAAAGCAGCATCTTGAGTCTTCTTGGTGCGCCAGATGGCATGCAGACACTCACGACTGATGCTGCCAGTCAGATGTGCGTGCAACTGAGTCGTGGGCCGTTAGTGCTGCGAACGGTTGGCCAGGCCTCGCTGGCTTTGGGGGAGGCTGGCGCTGCTCACTTCGATCTTTGGTAGGCAGCGGGCAAAACGTCTGTCGACGGACGTTGCAGCAATGGACATGATTGCAATTGAGTATTGGTGGCGCTGTGGACGTTTCTCGAAGTGCAAATCGAAAACAATAGACTTCGGAGCGGCGCCATGGTGGTGAGGCGCTTCGGGGATAGCAGCGGCAGAAGGGGTGCTAGCCGGGGTGCGGGCGAATCAGGGGCGAGTTCGCTGAAAGGAGGAGGTGCGCTGCAGGAGATTGCGCGCCCTCTTCGTCAGGTCCAAGAGCACAGCGAGCAGCGCCGTTCTCGTTCGCAGCACCGCAGCACGCAACACAGCAGCAGCAGAATCAATTATCGCCGACAGGACACACTGCACGCACTGCACGCAGAGGCCGCCGCACAGCCAGCCCCGCATTGTTCGCCTGCCGCGCAGTCCATTGTTGCGATATTCCGGCAGACAGGGCAGCTTCCTTTGACCCCAGCTGGTGTCTCTCGGTCCAGCCAAGCGTCCGCGTCCGCGTACCGTACCTCACTTCCTCCTGCACCCGCAGCCCTCTCCACCACAACACCCTCAGCCGCCGCTCCATCACCTCCCTGCGCACGCAATTGCAGCTGTTCCGCGCGCGCCCCGTCGCCATTGCTGCCTCTGCCCGCCTGCTGCCCCGCCTCTGTCTGCGTGCCCCGGGCTGCTGCGCTCCCTGCGAGGCCCCCCTGGATTTGCCTGCATCGCCGTTTTCGCTCGTCTGCGCGCCCGCCGCGACACCACCTTCCCCCACCCGGTAGCAACAGAGTAGCATGGCCGATATGAACCAAGAGTCTATCCAGCAGAGAATCCAGGTCGCACGGCGCGATGCCGAGGCCCTGAAGGACAGGATAAAACGGAAGAAGGACGAGCTCGCTGACACAACCCGTACGTCTTCAGTCTACCCTCCTTCAATCTACCCTCCTTCAATCCACCCTCCTTCAGTCTACTCTCCTTCAATCTACCCTCCGTGTGCAGCCCTGCACCACTCGCCCTGCACCGTGCATGCTGACCATTGACTGCAGTCCGCGATGTCGCCCGCGATCGTGTCGAGGCCCTGCCGCGCCTCACAATGAAGACGAAGCGCACACTCAAGGGCCATCTTGCAAAGATCTACGCCATGCACTGGTCGACCGACCGCCGACACCTTGTCTCTGCCTCGCAAGACGGCAAGCTCATCATCTGGGACGCTTACACAACGAACAAGGTCCACGCCATTCCTCTGCGATCGTCGTGGGTCATGACCTGCGCGTACTCGCCGTCCGGCAACTACGTAGCCTGCGGTGGTCTCGATAACATCTGCTCCATCTACAACCTGTCGGCGCGAGAAGGCCCTACACGCGTGGCTCGCGAGCTCTCTGGCCACTCCGGTTACTTGTCATGCTGTAGATTCATCAGCGACAAGCGAATCCTTACCTCGTCCGGCGACATGACTTGCGTGCTCTGGGACTTGGAAACCGGCTCCAAGGTGCACGAGTTCGCCGACCATCTTGGCGATGTCATGAGCTTGAGCATCAACCCCCTCGACCACAACCAGTTCGTCTCCGGCGCCTGTGATGCGTTCGCCAAACTGTGGGACATCCGTCAGCAGAAGTGCGTGCAGACTTTCGCCGCCCACGACTCGGACATCAACGCCATCCAGTTCTTCCCCAACGGCAATGCCTTTGGTACTGGTTCTGATGATGCTTCTTGCCGCCTATTCGATATCCGTGCCGATCGTGAGCTCGCTTCGTACCAGGTATGCACACCACCAGCGATAACGTTGCTGCTTTGTAAGCTAACTTCGAATCCTTCAGATTCCCGAGCCCGTCTGCGGTATCACCTCCGTGGCCTTTTCCGTGTCCGGTCGTCTGTTGTTTGCTGGTTACGATGACTTCGAGTGCAAGGTAAGCAGCTACAAGTCCATCCATCCTGAGGCTCCTCCCTAACATTACCATAGGTATGGGACGTTCTTCGTGGCGAGCGTGTTGGTACGCTGCAAGGGCACGACAACCGTGTCAGTTGTCTCGGCGTTAGCAACGATGCACTGAGTCTGTGCACTGGTTCATGGGATTCCATGGTATGTGTATTCTGCAGAGGCTCCCGTTTCAAATGGCTGACAATTTATAGCTGCGTATTTGGGCATAAGCGAGCGGCGTTCAGCATGCAATGTCATGTTACGATACACAGTTGGACCACGGCCTCATGCACGTATCCCTAATATGGCCGTCCCACGAACTCCCATTCCGAACTTGTCTGTTTAACATACCCACTACACGCCCTTCCCCGGGAGACGTTTGGACCCTGCGAAACCGCACCGGCCAACATAATATACCACACTTGGAAGCTACAAAGCGGCGGCTATTGCGTCAATTTGGTGGACAGGCGCCCGGGACCATCTTGTGCTGCGACACTTTTCCTTTCCATACCACTGTTTCCCATCTTCTTCTTCTTCTTCCTCCTCGCAACAAACCGGGCTGTACTCGTCTTCCGTCTTAGAGATCCGGGATGGCTGTTCTCATAGTACCACTCTATCCATCCCTCCATATCAAGCTCATTTACACGTTCACCACCTTTCCAACATGGCTTTGTTTCTTTTATTGTGTGCAGTTCAAAAGCAGGACGACTTGTGGAGTTGAGAAAGACGGGTTTTCTTGTACGTTTCGGTTTATGAGGCAGATTGGTGATGTGGGTGGGCTTCGATTCTATGTATGATCCTGTGCT